ACTCGCCCTCCCCGTGGGGACCTGCTCTCGCTTGTTCCTCTTTCTCGTTGCTGCACAGGGTCCTGGGGCAGGTGCCGTCCCCGCCCTGACATGGAACACACAGGACACTCTGTTTTCTTTCTTTCCTTCTTTCCCGTTGCAGGCTCACGCCCCTTCTCGTCGCCGTCCCACCCTGGACCCCAGCAGTCTTCCCCACCCCCTCCTACCTGGGCAAGGTCACGGGAGCGTATAAGTAAGCGCCGCGGGACCACGTGCAGAGCTAGCGTGAGCGGGCCTGGGGCAGATCGCCTCCCCTCGGAAAAGAGGGCCGCGCTTTTGCACGAGCTTTGTGCTGTGTATTCTGGTCACTGAGGTTTGTGTTCTGAGTCTCAGCTGGGTTCTAGAAAGTTCGGGCTGTCCACAGATGCTACGCATCATGCGATCCTATTGTGCGTCAGCTTGGCCTTCCTGCTCTCAGCCCCGTTTCAAAACCAGTGGTCAGTCACAGAGAGGACAATGCTCCTTTTCCTGGCCCCTGGATGCCGGGTCCCTGCCTGCTCCTTCGGTCTCATCATGCGCCGCGCCTTATGCTTTGTGTTCCAGGAGAACAAACAGGGCTGCCCGCGTTGCCCCTCCCCCACAAATGCCCCACCCCCCACCCCCACCTGAGTTTACTGTGATCACCCCTTCACGCTGATCTGTTTATGCTGTCATTGCTCCCCTGTGCTGAGGTCCCTGGGCCACCCACTCCCAAGTCCCCGGCCCCTAACTCACGCTGGCACATGGGAAAGGCTCAGGCTCTGCCTCTCATTCCCCATCCTGGCCTCTGTCTTTCCTGGGGAGCTCCCTGGGAACGCCGAGTATCTCGCCAGCCAGAGCGCTGCAATGGAAAGGCTGAGGGGGCCCCGCGGGTCCGGCGCTCCAGGACATCTGTTGCTTTTGTCTGCCTGGCACCTGTCATCACTTCTTTGAATCTTAGCACCCTTTTTCCTTAGGATCCCCCCCAATTCTCTGACCATGACCTCACAGCCTGGCACATGACCCAGGCCGAGCCACTGAGAGTCCTCCACCCCCTGGCATGTGACCCAAGACAGGCCAGTGAGATTCAGTCTCAGGACTTTTTGCTGACTATTGAGAAGGAGAAGGTGTTTCCACCGGGGCTGCAGAGCAGAGAGGACATAAGGCAGGAACTGCTGGGGGACACTTCTGCCTGCTGGAAAACGCTGCTGATACAGAGGAACGCAAACGTGGGAGGCGGTGTCAGAGTGCAGCCTGATGGCAAATCGTAGCTTCTGGACCCAGCCATGCCTGCAGCTATCCTGGAATTCTTAGTTATAGGAACTAGTAAATCTCCCCCTACTCTCTTCCCTCAGGGACTTTTTTTTTATTAAAAAAATTTGTTTTAATACTTGTTCTGTGTGACTTGCCCCTGAAAGAATCCTGGCTCAAACCCAGGCTTTCCCAGAAACCCACCAAACCTGGCTCTTCCAGGAGGGGAGCCGAGAGTGGTACCTGCAGATCTGCACCTCGTAGCCCAGGTCTAGGGGGTCGTTGGGGGCTGTGCCATTCTGGAAGTCGCTGACGTTGAAGGAGGAGAGGGTGTGGTTGACGAAGCCATGCATGGTCCCGTTCTGGCTGTACATGTAGAGGTACACCAGGCGTGGGATGAAGTCGGACGTGAAGGAGATCACGAAGGCCTGGGACAGGGAACAGCAGGGTAAGTGCAGACCCCCAGGCTGGGCAAGGGAGGGGCCGGCCCACAACAGGGAGTGACCCATTCACAGACCCTCCTGAGCCAGGGCGGCCTCGCTGGGTCCTGCCTTGTGACACTGCCCCCTGGAGGTGAATATGGCCACGTGGCCTCGGCATGTTAGGTGAATAAATGGAGGGTGGGGGTAGGGTGGGGGCCCCTCCAGTCAGCCCCTCTGGCAATCAAGCAGATGACCTGGGAGCCAGGAACAGCATGCTTCTGGGGCAAATGCTGGCTGTCCCTCACAGGCTGTGTGGCCTTGGGCAAGTCACTTAACCTCTCTGTACCTCCGTTTGGTTCTTGTCAAATGGGGCTAACAATACCCACCCTATGTGCAGACCTTGCCTTCCCGGCTTGTTGGAGGCAGGGCAGGGAGGGGAAGTGCTTTGTAAACTGAAGTTCTCTCCCAGCTCATTTGATTACAGAGCTGTCCCTGGGGGCCACATGGTTGGTGACTCTCACATGACTGTGTGGTGTTGGACAAGTGGCCTGCCCTCTCTGTACCTTAGTGGTCTCACCTGTAAGCTGAGGTCATAACAGACCCTGCCTCCAAGGGCTGGGGAAGACTACTGGGTTGGGGCATGAAAAGAGCTTAGAAGGGTCTGGAACATTCTAGATGCCCAACGGATGTTAGCTGCTAATATTGTGGTTGCCGTTGTCCTTGCGAGATGTCCAGTGTGCTCCCCAGCTGCTCACAGCACCTCCTTGCTCCAGATGGGCTGTACCTTGGGGTTCCCAGGCCTCCCCCCCACCAGGCATGCCCCTGCCTCAGGGCCCTGGGCTCGCTGGTTCAGGTTGGGACAAGGTGTCCTCACTGTCCTGGTGGGCACGCTCTGACCTCAGTCTCCCTTTAACAGGGGTTTCAGAGCCTTAACCTGGTGGGCCAGCAGCAGGGATGGTGGTGTCTGAGGGCTCTGAGATTTCCTCTCCCAGGCTAAGCATCACTCCCTGCACCCTATAGGGACCGAGGCCCAGGGCCTCACTGTGACCCTGACAGGCTTTCCTGGCCTTGCAGGCTCTGTGACTATCTGCTCCGGGAGCTGCCCCCTGCTCCCCACATGCAAGGTGTCAGCTTCTGGGGGGCTCAGCCTTGGCCAGCGGGTGAAGGACAAGGAGGGTCACAGGGCTGTGGTACTGCAGATGCTCTGTGACTGCCTGGGTCATATGCCTGGGACTCAGCATGTGCCAGGGACAGCTGGACAGAGCTAGGCCCAGGGGCATCCCAGGGCAGAGTCAGGAAAACCTCAACGGGAGGCTGCAGGGATGACTGAGGGCTGGTCTGCTGTGACGGAAGGGCTGTGGTGACACTCCTAACCTGGAGAGAGGAGAGGCCAGGAGGGGCTGCCCACGTGCTGTGGAGGAGGCTGAGGAGGCTGGGAGTGTGTGTGGGGGGTGGGGCTGGGCAGACAGGTTTTCTCCCTTCTCACCATGTCTCCACATTTCCCGAACCTTCTTTAAGAAGCAGGCATGCGTCTTATATTATGGGAAAAATGAACTTAAAAAAAGGGCAGAAAGATTGGCGATGAGGAGTCTCTCTTTCTCTCCCTGTCTCTCTCCCTGTCTCTCTGGCTCTCATTCATTCTCAGGACTCTAGGGGGAAAGTGAGTTCAGGTGCCAAGGCGGGCCCCGTGGAGACTTGCTTAAAGCTTGCAGAAAAGCTTGTTATTCCCACCCAGAGCTCACCCTCCCCACCCACATGATCAAGGGACATCTGTAAAGAGGACACAATCCCAGCAGCCTGGGGCTGGGCCAAGGCTGGAGGCAGGAGACCTAGGCTCAGCTCCTACTCGAAGGGGTCCCCGGTCCCTAGCAGCTGAGCCAGGACTTCCATTTGGCTGAGGTCCCTGACGTCACTTACATTGATAATGACAGCAAGCTTCCCAACGCCTCTGAGAATATTGTACCAGATTCCTGCAGGGAGAAGAAGTCACAGTTTTAAAGAGAGCCCTCTTAGACTAGGTCTCAGTAGTTCCAGCTAACAGGCAGCAGATGGAGCCGGAGACAAGCTTGCGTGTGTCATCTGGGGAGGTCCTGGGGGAGCCAGGACAACAAGAGGACCCACGGCCAAACCACTCATCAGCTGTTTGTGAGCAAATTGGAGCTAGTGAAAGTTGTACTTAACAACCGCTGGTCCCTAGATGGTTCTGAACCATCTCTCCGTGAACCTATTTGTAGTAACCGGCTTAGATGAGCCTTTTTTCCAGAGAGACAGAGATTCGGTTGGGGTGCAGCTCTCGTGGCTCTTGCACTAGCCTAACTGTATTTAGGGCTGGGCCAGAGGTGGTGCTGGGGACAGGAGCAGGCAGGACCCCTGGCCGGTGAGGTCAGCATCGTGCCCTGGGTGTAACGATTCAACAGCATTGCGGTACACATGCATCCCCGTGCTTCCGTTACCCCAAGGAGCAGCATTGTGTCAAATCACAGAGGAATTACAGGATCAGAACACAGTACCGGGGACACGCTTGTCCCTCCCTTTGCCTTCCGTTGGAGATGGGAACTAGCAGAGCCCAGGAAGGAGGCAACCCACTTGTTAGGGTCTCAGTGCTGCAGGTCCTGGGGGGACTCCAGTGTCCCCCACCCACCTCCACCCTAACCTATCAGGCCGGTCCACGTCATGAGCAGGTGCTGGGCTGGGAGCCCTGTCCTGATGCTCTGAACCCGCTCCGAGATGGGTGATAACCAGCACTTGTCAGGAAGGGCAGAGAGTGGCCAAGGCCTGGTACAATTGTCCTTGGAGAAGAATGTGGGAGGTGGGCTTTTCCCCCAGGGCGTAGCCTGCCCTAGCAATGAGCAGCCATCGGGAGCCTCCCAGTCCCTGGTTTTGGGGTGCATGCTGGTGGTCTGCAAAGGTTCAGCCCCCTTCCCATGCAGCCCAGAAGCTAGAAACTGCAGGCTCAGACAAAACGGCCAAGGCAGAGGCAACGTGTGAGTTGCTAGGACCCTCACTCCCCGCCCCAGCCAGTGATGACTCAATGAAAACTCACAATCGATCATAACAACCACAGCCAATCATAAGCATCCGCTGCAGGCCCATGACCTATGGGCCATGCAGGAAGTGACTGTCGCACCTCCCTGCCACTTGCCTCCAGTCCTTAGTTCCACGGGGGCTATGGCTTAATCTGAGGGGAGAAGTGTATCATGGTGCTGTTTGGTCTTTCCCATGAGAGCCGCAGTTCTCAATTCATTGTCCTGCTGGAATGGGTGGCAGGGGCATTCGGGTCACCTCGTCCTGAAGAAAGCGTGTGGGACTGTGAGGGGGCAAGAGATGGCACCATGAGGGATACATGTCCTTACAGAGTCAGCGTGGGCATGAGTGGAAACACACCTCATGCCTGGCTTCTCCTGGAGTGTGTCGGGGGCCGAGAGCCCTCCCGTGGACTCCAAGCTCCGGGGCCAGGCTGTGAATTGCACATCCTTGTGTCTTCTGGGTCTAGGTCGGTGTCTAGCACACAGGTCTCGGTGTTGCTGGGTCAGTGTTTGCTGAGTGACTGCGTGAGTGTACAGTCCTTTAAACAGACTCTGCACGCCAGAGCAGGGGCTGCCAAGCAGCTGCCGGCGGGCTCCATCTATGCCGCATGGGCATTTTGGTAGGCTTCACCGCTACTTAAAAAATGTCGGCCAGTGTTTAAAAGCCGGATGATGGGTTTTAAAAACTCTAGATTTGCCGCTTGGGAAAGATCCTCCAGCTGGCAGGTGACAACAGTTGTGGCTGAGGGTGGCGCCCCTTGCAGGCCCGGCTGTGCACTGAAGCTCTGTCCCCTGGGAATGGCTTGTGGCTTCCGTTTTCCACCACCAGCCACTTAAGAAGAGTACAGAAATATTTATCCAAACCCAGATCCCTACTAACGTGGAGGAACAAAAGATTCGGAGAGGGCTGAATGTTTCGAGAAACATGGGAAGGAGCCCACGCCTCTGTGGCCATGAAGAACGTTCCTGCAGCCCTTTGTTCACGCATTCATGCAGCCTGCCTGGCACTTGGGGCTCTGAGTTTGAGGCCTCCCAGTTGGGGTGCTGGGGCGCAGGTGAGCCCGGGTGGGGGCTGAAGTCTCTGGGCGTGGGGCTCCTGAGGGAGGCCACACCTGAGCACGGCACACGGAAAAGGCAGGACTTGGGTAGGCGAGGAGGTTGGCCCCGGGTGACCGCTCAAGGGGCCCAGGGAGATGAAAACAGAAGACAGGAGGGAAGAGGGGGCCCGTGAGCAGGGTCTTCGTGCTGCCTTCCAGAGCCCAGAATCTAGGCTGTCCTGATTGCATCTCCACGTCTAGGCCGACGGCTTTGTGTGGTCTCTGTGTGGTCTCCGCACCAGAATCATGGATTGTGTTCACAAAAATGCAAAACCGGGACGCCAACACCGGCCCACAGGATCAGCTTCTCTTGGGGTGGAGCTAGAAACCTGCAGTTTGGTCCACCACCCCCAAGTTATTCTGACGATCTCTAAGTAAAATGGATGATGTTCTTTTGGAAAACTCTCTGGGGTTCCTCTATGAAAATCCTGTTGGGGGAGCTGGCTCAGTGTTACCTGCCTTCTTCTTCAAGGCATTTTTTACCATTCTAGGGGACTCTGAGCCCCATTTCCAAGAACACGGCAGGGAGGTATCTGGGAAAAGCCTGGTGCTTGGCGAGGCTGGGCAGCCTGCCCACACCCTGTGTCCAGGAGCCAAGCGCAGGCCGAGGGTTCTCACCGGCAGGCTCTGAAGAGCAGGGAGAGAACAGGAAGTCCAAGTGCAGGCCTGGGGGCTGGAGCTGCTTCCCACGCACGGGGCTGGTCCCTGCACTGACCCGCTGTCTGTCTCTCTCCGTGGCCACGGCTGGGTGATCAGGCACCTGAGCTTGTGGCACAGCTTCCTTTAGCCAAGGCCTGTGGTGTGCAGGTCACAGGGGCCACTAGGGCCCTCTGTCCCCTCAGGGCGCTCTCCAGAGGCCCTGCACGGATCATAAGAGCAATACAAAAGCCTCTTCGATGAAGGCTATGGTTAAGGAGCCCATAAACAAGCGTGTGAAAGAAGGGCAGGTTATGCTTTCAGCCAGCCGGGCAGGAACAGGAAGTGGGCAGCTGATCTGTAAGAATTGGGAGAAAACCAGGAGCCAGGCACAAAGAGTGCAGGACGTTCGTGGACGACTGCCGGCGGTGGGGATGCTGAGCCCCACCTGGGACATGGGGAGTGGGGCCACCGTGCTGCTGTGCTCTTTTCACCCTGGTGGGTTTGCAAGTGTTCCGATGCCAGCATCTGGGGACACCAGGGCTTCCGGAGGCAAGGGATGCCAAAGCAAACATGCCAGCTGTGGACTCAGCTGGGGCCTCCGGGTGCCAGAGAATCAGGCCTTTGTGAGGAGCTGGTGGCAGGGGCCACTCTCTTTTCTTTACTGCCACTGGGCAGGGAGCCCCGGAACTCCCAAGGACTGTCCAGGGAGTGCCAGGCCAGCCTTCTCGGTGCTCCCTGCTCAGGGCCTTGCATGTGCAGTGTCAGGGTGTCAAAGACAGGCTGAGGCTTGAGTTCTCTGCCTCCAGCTCGGCTCTCAATCACCTGGGCCTCGGTCTTCCCATCTGGGAAGTGGGACCGAGGATTTGCCTGTGCCTCCTCCCAAGGTTCATAGGAGGACCCAGTAGACTGAAAGTTCCAAGAAAAGTTCATGTGAAATGCAGCTCTCTGGGCTCAGTGGAACACAGTGTGGGCTATGCCTACGAGACCCCTGGGGTGCGATCTCATCATGCTCTTGGGAGGGGATTTGCAAATATGGCTGGTGGCCCATATTTAGTCCACGGCCTGATGGTGGGCTATGCCTACGAGACCCCTGGGGTGCAATCTCACCATGCTCTTGGGAGGGGATTTGCAAATATGGCTGGTGGCCCATATTTAGTCCACGGCCTGATTTCTGTCTGGCCCACCTGCTAAGAATGGCTTTTCACATTTATGAGTGCAAAATGAAAAATGTATGAAAGACAGCCTTTCGGTGAGAGCCATTGCCTGAGACTTGGGACATCACCTCTTGGTCCACAAAGCTGAAGACATTTGCTCTCAGGCCCTTTGCAGAAAACGAGTGCTGACCTCTGATCCAGCACATCAGCAAATCAAGCACATTAGGCTGGTGCTTGTCCTGGTGGCCACTGGCCCTCCCAGCAACTTCGGGGTGAAGGGCAAGGGGTTCACCGTGGCCATGGATGAGGCAGGGTCAGGGGCACCAGGGGCTAGGAGGACTTGGGAAGGTCCTTTAGCTCAGGGGCTTTTAAAACCTTTGATATTTGTAGCCCAAGTCTTACAGGGCAGTCCAGTAGGAAAGGCATCTGTCTGCTGAGTCTTCATTGTGAGTGTCACCCAGATAAGAGGTGACATGCGTAAGCAGAAGTGTCCAAACACAGGGTGCCAACGCTTGCATAGGAGCCCTGGCTCGGACATCCCTCCCTATGAGCCACTAAGGAGTCCAGGCCCCTTTCAAAGCCAGGGCCCTTGCCACAGACCCCACAGCACAAATGTGAGGCTGCAGGGCGAACCGGATGAAATCACTGCTATTTGGTGGCGTCTGACCTACAAAAATGGCAGTTTCACCCAGGTCAGCCTAAAAGACAGCAACATGTAAGAGAAGCCAGAGTTCACGTTATCTCGGGGGTGGACAGTGGGAACTGGCAGGGCTGGTCACCTGTGGCGGATGGTGGCCGAGGCAGAGCCGCTGACTGCTGAAGGAGAGAACGAACCCAGACTGCTGGGGTGGGAGGATCCGAGGGGCGTTTCCAGCGAGAACCACCCAAATATCTACGACCAGGAAAGCCCTTGGAGGGACTGACGGAGCTTCCCACATACGTCCAAGATTATGTTTGGGCTACAAAAGTCCAACCCAAAGAGAGCCTCTCTCGCTGGTACATAATCTTTACTCCAGCAAAATGACAAAAACACCCCTAACACGTAACTCAATCTTTTGTTTATCCCAAGAATCAGCACACAGGTGCTGTTCTAAACTAAAATCCTGTTAAATATGAGATAAGATAAATGTATTTTTTTTGTAATTTTGTTTTCACCTGAAAATTGGGTCCCACTTTAAGAAGACGGCCATTGTCCTTGCTGATGAGGACCAGCTCTGGCCGGGGTGTCTGTGAGGCTCTGCAACCCTGTCCACTCGGTCTCCCACTTCCCTTTCTTTTCTTGGACAGACGGTCACCCCGTCTCTGCTTAAATGCCTCTGCTGATGGGGAGCTCACCACCCCACAAAGAAGTCTGCTCCACTTTTGACACCTCTATTAGAAAGTCATCCCTTATACTGACCTTAACTGTGCCACCCCCACCCCCTGTCCCTCCTCCTCATGGATGAGGCGCACCTTAGTGACTCAGGGTAAAAAGCCTGCGTGCAGGCAGGTCATGCAGTGATCAGGACTTTGTCTATAAAAGAGGGCTCCTTCCTTCTTTTTCCCTCCTTTTGTGTGAGCATTTAGTGACGAAAAGACCCACGATGCTCAGAAGCTAATATTATTGGCCCCCTTCGGTCTAGCTCTGCACTCTGGGGGCCGCACAAACGTTGCGGGGGGGGGGGGGGGGGGGA